TATGCCAATAGACAAAAATCAAATTTAATGGAATATAGATAAGTAGTTACAGCTTCGATATTTTTTAAGGTAACGTTCTAACTTGAATAAAAATAAACTTTTGTTAATATGAGATTTTCTTGACAACCTAATTGATGATATTGTAAGGTGCACGAATTCAAACAAAATTACGACATCATTTGATATTTATTTGTTTAATAATGATGATCTTATTATGATTCTCGAATTTCTTGTTTAATCATATGCATATATTCGTTCAGAGCAAATACAAAAAACAATATTTCTAATAATAACAATACCTTCATTTTATAATGTCAAATCATCAATTTCTCTTCAGAACAGATGACATTAGTCAATATTGACGGAATTATCCACCGTATGAACCTGAAAAGAAAACAAAAACAATGCAACGCATAGTCTTATGCTGCTTTGAAGTTTCGTTATAATTCTTGTCATTATTTTCATTATTCCTAAAAGTCATCAATTTAAAACAACCTAGATTTGAAGAACAACAAAAGAATAGTCGTTAATCGTGTGCAAATAAATTATATATTATTTATTAAATTAAATTAAACATAAGCTATATTAATATGCAGAAAATTCAATAAAAATATTATCTAAACTCCGGCTTTTTTCAATCTTAATAGTTCAGATTTTTGATCGATATAAACCTAAATAATCAAAGAATAAATGATTCGAAATGAAAATAAATATTATTTCAACATACTTTATTGATTGCTTCAAGTAATTGATCAATTTTATCAGGAAAATTTTCAATTGAATCAAAATATTGTGAACGCATTTGTGAATCTCGTTCTTCTTGAATTTCTGATCGACTTAACTTTTTCAAACCTATAAAACATTGATAAAATAAATTATCATTCAATTAAATACAATTTTCTAACCTGTCCAATATAAAAATTTCTTTAACATAAATGAAAAAATTTCGTGATCTTCAAATTTATTTTCTCTAGCACGACGAAAACTACCATTAATTATTGAAAGAAACATACTTAAACAAATAAAAACAATTAAGAAAATAAATAAAGTAAAACAAAATGGACCAAGAAAAGCGTTAGCTTCAATTAATTGACTTGTATCAAATTTCATTAATGTCATTTCAAATAACATTTGTGAAGTTTCTAATAAAGATGAACAAGATGAAATATTTGATACAAATAATAAATAAAATAAACAAAGAAAAGATATAAATACAATTGAAAACATAAATGAAAATGAAATAAGTTGTTTTCCAGCATATTTAAGTGTTTGACTAAATAATAATAAACGTTGATTAAAACGACATAAATAAATAAATTTAATTAAACCAAAAAAACAACAAAAACCAAGAAGAAATGTTAAAAGATCATTTATATAAACTGCAAATTGTAAATTTATATAAACATATCCATTAGTTTTTTGAAAAAGTGAACTTATACGATTAAATTCTTTAAAACCCCAAATATAAACTCCAACACTTCCCCATGAACAAATTATTATTCCTAATTCAATTAATGACCAAAATTTACTAAAATATTTTAATTGATATAATAATCCAATTTCAATTATCATAAAATAAATAATAAAACCCATATAAATAATTATACAAACTAATTGTATTATTGATGTAAATACTGAATCAAAAAAAGAAACATTCATTTATATTTTAAAACTACTATCCATTTGAAAATAGAAGGCGAATGATTGCGAGTCGGATAACTTGGGAACGAAAGCAACTGTGAAGCTGCGATTTTCATCATTAAAAAGCGGACACTAGGACATGTAAATCTATGGAAAAATTTCATTGCTCAGTACTAGACCAACAGGATGAAAGCCCACTAGACATTTTGAAGACAGCTTTTGGAACGCTTTTTTCATTGGATTTTGAACTTTAATCAAACGATTCGATAGAAAAAATTGTTCTCTTTCAATCTACACAAGGCCGAGCTCGATAGCTTGCTCTATTCGGTAGCTATAAGCATTTTTCTGAGACCACCGAAATTGGTCAGGTGATGCGGAATCATCCTTAAAAGCATTACATTATCGATAATCGACCACGCTGAATTTAGTGGTGATGTTTGTTTTTTTATTTCAAAGTAACCTGAGATCATTATAAAAAAATTTTCGTAAATCTAGTTTTTACTGCTATTTGGCTTAGAGAACAGGTATATTGAAAATCTCGATACAGTAATCTCAGATTACTTTGAAATAAACAACAAACATCACCATTGAACTTAGCGTGGTCGATTACCTATAATGTAATGCTTTTAAGGGTGGTTCCGCATCACCTGATCGATTTCGAGGGTCTCAGAAAAATGCTTATAGCTACCGAAAGGAGCAAGCTATTGAGCTCGGCCTTGTATAGATCGAAAGAGAACAATTTTTTCTATCGAATTGTTTAATTAAAGTTCAAAATTCAATGAAAAAAGCGTTCCAAAAGCTATCTTCAAAATGTCCAGTGGGCTTTCATCCTAGTGTCCACTTTCTAACGATGAAAATCGTAGCTCCACAGTTGCTTTCGTTCCCAAGTTATCCGACTCGTAATCACTCGCCTTCTATTTTCAAATGGATAATAGAAAGAAAATTAAATTACCATAAAAATTAATTGGTTCAAAACGAGCAGTTGGAGAAATTAAACCTGTTGATAAAAATTCAATAAGAAATGTAACTGAAGTAAATAATTGAACATTGGGATTATATAATGTTAATTGAATAAAAATAGCTCTTGTACGTTCATCAATCCAACCTAATTTATGAAGTAATGATAAATTACTTTTAATATCAAATAAACGACCACGAAATTCATATACATAACCATTTCCACTATAGATTCCATGTTTACCTATATACATATATGTATCTAATTCATTACTTGTAGAATATTTAAATGCTTTTAAAATTGATGAACTATATTCTTCTGTTGTTTTATTTATCCATCCAGGTTGAAATGAATATTTTTCTTCATTAAATAAACTATAATCATTTTTACATGTAGAAATTAAACGTTGATCAGAACATAAACTTGTTTTAATACGTAATTGTCTCATTGTTGACCAACCAATTAAACGATTTGATTTATCATTTATAAATCCATTTAAATATCTTGGTTGATCTCCATTATACCATTGTTGAGCACGAAGATTTGAAATAAAACTATTTTCTAACCAATTCCAGTATTTATTTATTGTTGAAATCTAGAAATATTTTATTTATAT